GTAAGGTCCAGACTTGCGGGTCGTCATCATCATAGTAGTGATCGTTGATAGAGGGGTTATTACCATCTTCTGGTTGTATTGGATCCCCGACGGGTTGTTCTTCTTCGTTCGGCGTAGTAGGACGCGCACGACAATGTCCAGTGGTTCGCCGTATTGCAATGTTTCCAATGACGTTTCTTGTTCCTCCCGTCTGTGGTGCTAATGTCTGCTGCTGCCATTGTTGTTGTGCAGGTGGAAGGGAAGTATGTTGAGGTTGAAACTAACGCACGTCTTGTCAGCCAACCCAGTCGTTATGGTGAGTGGAGTTCGGGTGGCGATTGTTGGACCGGAATCTGCACCGGTCTGTTGAGTGGCCAAAGGCTTTGCAGATTTTGCAATAGTGGTGTCGCGGTTGTCATCGCTCTTCCCGATTATCGGCATAGAAGGCGGTCGTTCTCGTCGCGGCACGGATTTTGTTTTGCTTTGATTCATGTCTTGTTGTTCGACGAGAAGTGCAGTGCATAGGGAAGCTTCATAAATTGCTCCATGCTGTCGGAGTAGCGCCTTACAGGCCTTTCACTCTGGCCCGCGTCTGGTGAGCACTATGTTGACGAAGATTTCTTCTAATATGATGCTCCCGTACTTTGCAATATGGTTGCGGATGTTCCGACGGCGATAAATGTATGAATCTGTTTTCTCCGCGTGCCCCATATTTATTTCCACGAGTTGCTGCAGGAGCATGCTGAAGATGACTGAGTCCTTCGGCTAATATATCTCTGTCAGGTGCTTCTAGGCTTCTACCGTTGGATCTGAGTTCTCCTTGTATGAGCAGATGCAGAGTTGCTCCGCGGGCGTCATGCTCCTTAGCAGCGTACTGTACGCCATGAGGGACTCGGTGTAATACTGAGCCCTGGCGTCTTCAGTGTCAATGACCGGACTTAGATAGGAGTCGTCAAAGTAATGGTAGATTGTGCTGTTTCTAGTAGTAGCTCTAATTCAAAATTCCATGTGTAAATATCCTTCCCATCAAAGACGGACGTGTCTTGATTTTTGAAGACGTTCATGAAGCGTGTTTGCGCACAATTAATAGCTTCATCACTTGGACGGGGGACACTTGGTGTTGAATTGTTTGTGTCAAGGGAGAAGGTGTGTGGGGCGGTTCCACGGTCACTCGTGACCTGTTGAGAGGAGGTTCCCGCGTCGTCATTCCGCATTTTTTGGAGTCCTTTCTCCATGATCGTCAATCGTTGAAGAAGCTGCTTGAGGACGGCAGTGCTGATCGTAGTTATCGCCTCCAATGTCGCAGCAGGGTTGGGCTGATTTACAGCCATTATATTTGTTTGGCCTCCGGAGCCCCCGGCCATCTTGACTTGGGAGCGTGTGCCGCTCGCCAGCTTTGGGTCGCACAAACTTTCGAAAATGCACCGGTCCTTAACGTTTCTACCTGAATCGGTCTTGATCTGATGGTTGCTTGACGTTGCTTCGACTTTTCTGACTCCTCGACTTCTGTAGGGATGCCTTCTCAGTTCATTCATAACTCAACAACATGCACTACGCACGTGCAATCCCTATGGAGTTTATTTTTTTTGCCTGTGGGCCGACAAAATACCATTCTGCAAGGGCATCAGAATGGTCATATTACTCTCTATCCCAAATATCCAAAAAATAGTTTTAGACCCTCGGGTCTATAATACGAGGGGGGTTCTCTATAAGGATCGTTTGTAGTTAAACCCCCCTAATTGGTAGTTAACATTATAAGACACCCCCTTTTTCCCTCAGAGACCTTGTCTTTTTATAGCCAAGCAATATTTTTTTTTACAATCCCAAAAGGGACATAGCCAGGGATCGGCCCAGGGTTGATTGCAAGTAATGCTGCAGCGGAAGTGATGACCTCAGGTCAGAGTGAATGTAAATGGTTGAGATGATTATAGCATATGCATATATCGGTTTAAATGTGTAAAACAAAAGAAAAGATAATGTCCTAGCTGGCCATGTACTATAAGGGGTACATTCCTTTATTACTCAAATTCAAACCGTGCGGCGCGGAAACCCATTTCAAACATGTTCCTGCCTTTTTCACTTTGAGTGTTTCTACCTGCTTTGGTCTTGATCGGACGGTTGCTTGACGTCGCTTCGACTCTTCTGACTTCTCGACTCGGTACTCGATAGAGTCGGCTCCAGCAGTGTACAGGAATGCCTTCTCATATAACTTCAAATTTCAAAAAACCCCTTCGTTCCTGGACTTGTCGACAATTGACTCGCTTGACTACTCTGGTGAGGTTGGAGTAGTGCTAGTACTACTAACGTGGCGGTTGCTTGGTGAGAAAGTCAGCTGCCATCTCGGTGGTAGGGCGGTACGTCAGGTCAACCTTGTCCGGGTCAATTTCGTCCTTGACGAAAAAAAAAACCGAAGCGCGATTTGCTTCATTTGGTTCACGAATCTTGGCTTGTCCGCGATCCCGATCGCGCTTTGATCATTGTAGTGAAGTCGAAAGGTGGGCGAAGTTGGAGTTTTTGCCTTCTGCAGAAGCTCCTACAGATAGGGTCATTCGCGAACTACAGCAGTTGCGGCAAGGTACTCTGCTTTGGCCGACGACAGGGCAACCAGTTCCTAATTCTGGGAATTTCAAGAGTTTGTACCCGCTGGCTCGAGGCGGAAGACGAAGCCGGTTTGTGACCGTCGTCAGTGGCATGATCTGCGTCCATGTAGCTGGTGAAGTTGATGGATGTCATTGTCAGCGTGGAGTGGGTGAGCCCGATGTTAGATGTGGAAATGAAGTACTATAGGACCTGCTCCGGGTCCAGCATGTTTTCTGTCACTCGCTTACGAGAGTATTGTGCCAGCGGGCTGGCGATTTACGAAAAGGTCAGATCGGTAGGTAACAAAGGCGAACAGCAAGCAACCCAGCTGCTGCTAGTAGAGTTGGAGTCCTGAGGTCGATAGAGGTTTGTAGTCCAGTTTAAATCGCTCCCCAAATTCCAGCACTTACTAGGAGGCTGACAAGTAAATTTCTTCTAGCGCTTAAGTTATGCTGGGCCTGTTATGGTCACAGTAGGCTCCAGAGTGCACAGTCGGATTTCCGCACAGCAGCTTGAAACATTCATAGCGTTCTCGTCACAGCTTTAAATGACCAGATTCAACTTGGATCTGAAGCAGCTTAAAGCTCGCGTCTCAAATTTATGGAAGCCAACCAAGTTTTAAACGGTTGGAAATCCAGTAACTGCCAACTTTGTCACTCAAACGCCCAAAGCAAGGGTTGGGTTTGAGAAGGTTGGTTAGGAGTGGCGGGCCCCCGCACCCCAAATGTATACGTAAAAAAACGTGCCCTGATTTAGGGTTTGTATACGACCATCCAGGTTGGGAAACACACATGCGCGACGAAATCACAGGCGCACAAATCAACGTGCAACCACATTGACATCGCCGAACACCCCCCCCTGCAATCCAAACGTTTTACACCAACCTGCAAGAAATTTTGAGACACAAAACTCTCACCTTCCACCAAAATCGACTGGGCAGGGCATTTTCAACTGTTTTACGCGACAATCATCGTTCCTAGTTGCCGCTAGCCCAGAGGTGACATCTCCTAGCAAGCAGCCATAACGCACCGTCAGTCTCTCAACCGACCCAGTTTAGGAGGCGACCTATTCCAACGACTACGGCTCCATACTGAACTGCAATCCCAATTTCCGGACACTTGAAACGCAAGGGAAAATGGAGGGCCAATCGTGAAAGGGCCCTGATATGTCACCCAGCTGACAACGACATTCCCCCCTGCCATTATTAAGCGAGGATCGATGGATCTTGTTGCCACCGCGGCGATTTCGTGCGTCCGGTTAGGCGAAAATCGAACCCAAGTGGAAATTCAAAGTGGGTGAGGTGGAAATTACTTACGGGTCAAAAGAGTGGGCTTCAAAGTGGGATTTATGCGGTGTGTAGAAAAGCGGTCCGCATTAATGACGCTTTAGGAAACGGAGGTCCAGGAACTCCGCCTCTCACGGAATACATTGAGCGAAATTGGCTTTAATTTACGCAAATCCAGGGTGCTTGTCCCGAGCATCCCAAGAGCTTGCCCCAAAGTTGCACATGAGAGGGGGAAGGGAGTTGTTGTGAAGGGGAGAAGGGAGCTGCATTCCGAAGTGAGACAGGAAGTGCTTTTAGAGGGGGAAGGGAGGTGCTGTGAGAGGGGGAAGGGACGTGCTGAGAGAGGGGGATGGGAGGTGCTGAGATAATGGGAACAGAGGTGCGTTTAGAGGGGGAATGGAGGTGCTTTTAGAGGGGGAAAGGAGGTACTGTGAGAGGGGGAAGGGACGTGCTTTTAGATGGGGAAGGGAGGTGCTGTGAGAGGGGGGAGGGATGCGCTTACTGAGGGGGAGGGGATGTGCGTTTAGACGGGGAAAGGAGGTGCTGTGATTGGGGGGTGGGAGGTGCTGAGATAGTGGGAAGGGAGGTGCGTTTAGAGGGGGAAAGGAGGTGCTTTTAGAGGGGGAAGGGAGGTGCTTTTAAAGGGGGGTGGGGTGGGAGGTGCAGAGATAGTGGGAAGGGAGGTGCGTTTAGAGGGGGAAAGGAGGTGCAGTGAGAGGGGGGAAAGGAAGTTGCTGTGAGAGTAGGGTTCGGACCTGCTGTGTGAGGGGGAAGGGAGGTGCTGTGAAAGGGGGGAGAGATGTTCTTACTAAGGGGGAGGGGATGTGCGTTTAGAGGGGGAAAGGAGGTGCTTTTCCTATGAGAGGTAATGGTGGTGCAGTGAGAGGGGTACTGTGACAGTGAAATATGGCCAAGTCGTGTTCCGAATTGTGGTCGGTTTCACAGAAGGAGTTGTGGGAGTGGCTGACGCTAAACAATGGTGCAGGGAAAGGTGTGAGTTCGCGGTCCGCTAAAAAAACACTGGTCCGCCATGTGTGTGCGAAATTGGGACGATTCAGTTTGAAGCATCGGCAAAGGCTGCTGAGAAATGGGCATTCTTATAGATGCGGAAGGTGTTGAAGTTCAGGGCGAAGCCAGTTGAACCACCAGCCAAACAATGAAGGTGCTTAGAGCGAGAGGGGGGATGGAAGTGCAGCATGAGCATAGAGGAGGGGGAGGAGAGAATGGCGACGTCGATTCAACACCTCATGATGTCGGTGCTTCGGGTGGGGAAGCAGATGAGTTCTCGCGGATTCTGGGGATCAAGTGGGTCGACGTTGATACACCATTTGATTTTGATCCGCATCCCATGTATGCCGCCTGGGACGATATCACCCACGATTTCATCAGGGAGTCGGCCGAGTCTATGTTCAGCCTAGAGGACATCAAGATGATGACTCGTGGTGAGTTTGAATTCCAAAATTATCAAATTCCTAATACGTTGCACATTTTCTTGGACACATTCAGGCAAAGTGGAGTCAGGTCCAGAGATGGGGCGAGATGAGCAGGCGGTAGAGCCTGGAGTGGCGGGGGAGCCTGGAGTGGCGGAGATGCCTGGAGTGGCGGAGCAGCCGTTAGTGGCGGAGGAGCTTGGAGTGGCGGGGGACCTGGAGTGGTGGGGGAGGCTGAAGAGAGTAGGGAGGCTGAAGAGAGTAGGGAGGCTGAAGAGACTAGGGTGCCTGGAGTGGCGGAGGAGCCTGGAGTGGCGGGGCAGCCTGGAATTGCGGGGGAGCATGTAGTGATGGGGGAGCCTAGAATGGTGGGGGAGCCTGGAGAGGCGTTGGAGCCTGGAGTGGCGGGGGAGCCTGGAGTGGCGGGGGAGCCTGGAGTGGCGGGGGAGAAAGTCGTTGCGGAAGAGCCTGGATCGTCAGAGAATGCCGTTGGGAGTCGTACCCCAAGGTGGCAGGCGAGGAAAACAGGGAAGCGGAAACGTGCTCAAGAGGGGCGCAATAGCGAGGACACGGAGGGTGAAGAGGCTGATGTGACTGTTGGTCAGCGCTCCTTTATTCATTTCCACCATTGCATGATGTGCGCTGCAACAAAGGTAGAAGCAGGTTATCCAATGACTCCTCAAGAAGTGGCTGATGAGATTGGGGGGTGCGGAGACCATTGGGCGGGCATACACACTGGTTGTCAGCGAGATGGCGTGGTCCCATGTCGTGTTGGGGAAGGTTGGGGGGAGGAAAGTGCGTTGTATGCACCGGGTTCGGTGACTCACTTGGCGTTCAAAGAGTGGTTGTCGGTGAATTGTGGCCCAAGTTCCATGGCAGAATACGTTTTAGGGGCATCAAACTGGATGAACGATTCTTTTCACTCTTTGATCACGAGGTACGCGCCGACACGTATAGCGTTCCTTGGCAGTATGGAGGCTTGGGTGGCGTTGAGTGTGCTGCACTGGAACCACGCGGTGGAGAGGGTTGTCAGGGAGTGGCGAACACGCGTACGCAAGGTAACACGAGTGCAACGTGGGACGAAAGATCGGATGCTTGGTCCAATGGATTGGAGTTGGGTGGATGAGGTCTTGGAGCGATGGTCCTAGATAAGGAAGCGTGGAGGCGTTGCTGAGAGCATTAGAGCCAAGGAGCAAGGGGGAGAGGCACTGTTTGGGGAAAGGAATGTGGGGGAGGAGATGGAGGACGAGGCGGAGGACGAGGGCGCAGAGGATGTGGTAGGAGTCGAGGTGGTTCTTGAAGAGGTAGAGGAGGCTCCAGTATGGTTGGGAGCGCCCCTAGGGGACGAGAACGAGGCGCCTCAAATTGATTCCATTCCCATTCGACTTCCCTCGACGCCACCCCGCGCCAGCAGTTGTGCTCCGGCACGCACGCCATTCTGACCGCTGACACAAACGTCTGATGCATTCGTGTTCACGAGCCCTGCAAGCATGTGTGATTCCACTTCGGGGCCACGTACACGACGTCGTACCGGCAACAATGTGTGCCCCAATAGAGTCCGGCGGACACTGCCGCTTGGTCAGTGTAGTGGTATGTAAATACCACCGATTCTTCATTCATATGGCTGCACATCTACATCATTGTGTTTAGTAAGATGAAGCATCATCTTTGTGGTGTGTGATCATACCGTCCCCAATTCAGGCGACCAGTCTCACCCGCCGCAAGCATGAAGTCATTGTACAAGATGATCGGGCTACGTAAAAAAGATGACGCAAAATCCCCTCGCGGTATGGACATATGGTGTGTTGTATAGTTTCTTTTTGTTCAAATGAGTATATATTTGTTATCCCATTCAAATCGTTTTTTCCTTTCAATAGATTTGTGGGTTTCACACATGACCTTGAAACCTAATCTCAATCTGGCATCATCGAATTCGGTAGTGTGTTGTCGATTGGTAAGTCTTCCTAAACTTACGTACAAGCCGCCTTGTCGCTTCCATCACCTTGGTCCCCCCCCCCACCATCACCCCCCATCTCCCATTGCCATCATCTCATCCAACTTGCCACATCATCTCTGCCCCTTGCTATCATCATTTATACACCTTTGCCATCACCTCACACGTTCTCTCTTCTCCCCCAGCCATCACCATGCATATAATCAACAAACATTATCTTCTTCCACCTTCCATCCCCTATCATCGCCCCATGCCATCACTTTGCCTCTCCCCTTGGTCATCTCTTCCCTTTCCCCCCTGACCTCACCTCCGGCCTGCCTTTTCCATCACCTCTCATCCCTCTCTGCCACCTCCTCTCATCCCCCCTTTCTATCACCATTCTTTTCCCAGTGCCATCACCTCCCATATCCCCTGGCCATCGCCTCTCATCCCTCTTTGCCATATCCTATCATCCCTCCAAGCCATCATCATTCCTCTCCCATTGCCATCACCTCCTAAATCCGCTCTTCTCAACCTGTCAGTGCCACTCATAAAATCAATCACTGTTATCTCATTCCCCCGTCCATCCCATGTCATACCCCCGTGCCAACACCTTACCTTCCGCCCTTTGCCATCTCTTCCCTTTCGACGCTGACCTCACCTCCCGCCATCCTCTTCTATCACCTCTCTTCCCCTTTTGCCACTTCCGCTCATCCCCCATTGCCATCATCGGTCATCTTCCCTTGCCATCACCATCCATATCCTCTCTTCTCCCCTAGTCTAAACACTTCATACAATCAACTATCATTATCCCAATCCCCCATCCATCTCCTATCATCACCTCATGTCGTCACCTTGCCTCCCTTTCGACCATTTCCTCCCTTTCCCCGCTGACACCCCCCCCACCGCCCACATCTTCCATCACTGCTCATCCCCCTTAGGCACTTCCTCTCATCCCCTCTTACCATCACCATTTATTACTCACGGCCATCACCTCCCATCTCCCATTGCAATCTCCTTTGAACCCTTTTTGCCATCTAAGGTCATCCACTCTTGACACCTTTTCTCAGCTCTCCCTGCCATCCCCTCATGCACTTTTCCATATCCCATTTTCTCAGTTGAGTGTTGGCGGCAGCTGAGTGTGGGGGAGCAGAGAACGGCATGGGTGATAGTGTGGAAGGAGAATAGGCGATGGTGAGATACGGACCCATGTACGGTTATAGTTGTACAGCTTGACAAAACAGATGCTAAGCTAGTTTTAATTACGTGTGGTACCAACGGTGGACATGTGGCTTCGTGCTGCGTAACATGTAACATGTTTGGGGAGAGTGCGACGCGTTGCGCTACATATAAAAAGAGAATCACAGAGGCTACGTATGTCTATGCGTCCACATGGTGGTATAATGCATCACATCGAGCAAGGGTTGTCTGCTTTTGATGTCATGTCATAGTGCCATAAGTTATTAAGACCCTCTTAGAACAAGCTTTGCTACATTCTAGTGGCCTAAACCCTAGCAAACAGATGATAGTACATCACTGTACTGCATGTTAGGTTTGGTGGGCTAGACACCGAGTATATATTCAAGCGGGTGGTTCATTGTCAAGGAAACGTGATGGCTTGACCCTCGTCAATAGTAACACCCTCGTCCGTATCGCCACTCTCCTGCCCCAGACCGAGCTCATTCATGGCCCACTGTTCAAGCACATAGCTTTGCTTAGGACATTCAATGGTAGACTCTGACAGGGACCAACATTCCTTAGAATAGAAAAGCTGTGGCGGCAACCCAGTTGGCTGTACCACCCTACGTCGGGTCACCCTTCGAACGGGCCGCCAACTGCTAGCAACCACTGAGCGACCAGGTACACCATTGTTGTTCCTTGTGGTTTGGGATGGGTCGGTGGAGGTTGATCCCGCTTGTCCCTCCATACCCTCCTCGTCATCCTCCTCTCCTTCAATTCCCATCCTAAACCTCAGCCGGACCCGATGACGCCGTCGATAATCCCAGCGATACATCTTTCTTGGACCTGCAGCATGGGACATAGAGCGGGGCAGAGGTAATGATGACTGGGTGTTTAGGTTGGGAAGAGAGCGGGGAAGGGAGGTGATAGAAGAGGATGGCGGAATTCATTCCCTCTCTGCCTTCACATTCATTCCCTCTTGCCTTCACATTCATTCCCTCTTTGCCTTCACATTCATTCCCTCTCTGCCTTCACATTCATTCCCTCTCTGCCTTCACATTCATTCCCTCTCTGCCTTCACATTCATTCCCTCTCTGCCTTCACATTCATTCCCTCTCTGCCTTCACATTCATTCCCTCTCTGCCTTCACATTCATTCCCTCTGCCCTCACATCTGTTCCCTCTCTGCCCTCACATTCATTCCCTCTCTGCCCTCACATTCATTCCCTCTGCCCTCTCATTCATTCCCTCTCTGCCTTCGCATTCATTCCCTCTGCCCTCACATTCATTCCCTCCCTTCCCTATTCATTCCCTCTGTGCCCTCACATTCATTCCCTCTCTGCCCTCACATTTTTTCCCTCTGCCCTCACATTCGTTCCCTCTCTGCCCTCACATTCATTCCCTCTCTGCCCTCACATTCATTCCCTCTCTGCCCTCACATTCATTCCCTCTCTGCCCTCACATTTGTTCCCTGTCCACCCATTCCCCCCTTCTGCATATCGTTCGTCCCTCATTCATCTCACTCCGCCGTTACTCCTATCGTTCCGCGTGTTTTCCTCTCATTCCGCCGTTCCTCCTCTCGAGCCGCCCTTCTTCCTCCCAAGTCCCTCTTTCTTTTTCTTATTCCGCGCTATTTCCTGTCATCCTGCCCTTCTCGTTGTAGTTAGCCATCCATTCGTGCGGTCAGCCTTTCCTAACATCATTCAGAACCACTCTGCATTCACCTCGACCATACCTACGCTCTTTCCGCCCGGCGAACCCTCAATATGCCCATGCCTGATTTCACTCCGCACTTCCTCTTCGGATTCAGCCCATCCATTCTCACATTCTCTATTGGGTGAGATGTGTTGATACTACTCATATCGAGGAGTGAGCTTACCAAGTTCCAATGTCCTTACTGCTCAGTGATGGGAGACGTGATTATGGGTGCTTGGAGTGGGCGTTCAGTTTCAATTATGTCAACGTGCGACGAGCGCTGGTCGTTCAGTGCTCAATCTGGGCGAAACCTGTCCCCATAGGTTTGTTTTCCACCCAAACCTGCCCACCTTGGTTTGTGTTGGCCTCGACTGTGTTGGAGTTCGCTTTGTTTTTTTTCACAAGCTCGTAAAAAATCTCGTCGTTCGTTACCCAATCACAGCTGGTCAAACCCAACCAAGTGTTAAATGCTTGGAAATTGAAAACGCGAGGCTTGAACTCACCTACAATAGGCAATTTAGATTGCACGATTTCACCAAGTATTGACGACACAGCGTCGGTTTGAACGAACTGCACTATGGCAGCCACTATAGTCTTAGAACACAATATATGAAGAGTTACAAGTTGGGAATTACTCCCACCTCCTACAAACCCCAAGAGCCGAGGTACAGTGATGTGGAACAGTGCCACACTGTCCCCAACCAACAAGGGTCTCGAAACTACCCTCCACAAGGGTCTACACCAACAGAAATGTTACACTACATATTGTAATGTAACTACCTTCAACATCTGAGCTTTTGGCGAGCTTCGAAATCACTTGAGGCTTGACACTGAGGCTCGAGTTCTTCATCACAAACTCATCCTTGAGTTCTTGATGGGTCTGCTTCACACACCTGCGACACGCCGAACGTTCCACACACGACAAAATAGAAACCGCGCGACACACACAAACGACGAAATAGAAACCGCATGGGACACACAAACGACGACGTAGACATGCAACTAGCGATGACTCGCTATTGACTTGGCACACACACATTCGACATCATGACTCATCATTCACACACCATTATAAGCATGCAATATATATATTACCTCATGCCCTCATACCATTCCATGCACGCACGCACACCCGCACACGGACAACAAGCCGAGTGCAAACCGTGGGATTGCACCAACAAACCCCCCCTCGGGTTAATTTGCATTAGGATCTACTCCTCTCAGTTCAGAGCCATTCCAGCCAGCATGCAACACTTCCAATGCTGCTGCTCCACCAGCCTCTTAGTCATCATGTCTGTCGGCTGCCCCGTCGTCTTCACGTAGTGCAGCTCAACTTCACCCGCGGCCACCATGCTCCTTGTCCAATGTCACTTCACCCTCATGTGCTTCGTGAGGCCATGCAAATCAAGGTTCTTAGCAAGAGCAATGGCACCCTGGCTGTCACAGTAGAGTGGGGTAGGTCCTTGCTGCTCCTCCCCCAATTCAGCCAACAAACGCCGCTTCCACACAATCTCCCGTACGGCACGGAAGAGTGCCATGTACTCGGACTCCACCAAGCTCAATGCTTGATCAACCCGCTTCTTGCTTTCCCAAGCAGTTGGACCTCCACCAACACAGCATATGAAGCCTCCTACACTTGTCATGTCCTCTGGTTTCGATGCATAAGAAGCATCCGAGTAGGCTGTGAGGAACAAACGCCCGGGTTCTACACCATCCACGCCCTTTTGGCACCTTTGCCCCGCCATCGAGTATTGCAGCCCAACGGTCGGTGTTTGGCCAAGATACTTGGCCACCCTCATTCCAGCTGCTACCTGCTCCTCATTATGGCATTGCACAACCCTAGCCAGCCGTCCGGTATCAAAGGTGACGTCCGGTCGTGTGTTTACCGCCGCATACATGAGGCTGCCCACCAACGAGTGAAAATGGCGTCTCTCTTCTTCATCAACGCTCTCCTCCACTGGTACCTTCACACACTTGAACCCAGAAGGGAATGGAGTAGCCACATGACCTTCATTCTGCCCAAAGTTGGCAACCAAGGCCTCCAGGTACTTCCGTTGGTGCATTCGCATGCACCGCTTCTCCACGTTGCGTTCGATGTGGAGCCCGAGGTAGAAGTTCACGTCACCAAGTGCCTTGCACTTCAACTTGTCATGAAGCTTCAGCATCACCTCCTTCAAAAGGAAAGAGGAGGGTGAGAAGATGAGGATGTCATCCACGTACACGACCATGAAGCTCCTCTGCTTCCCCTCGCCAAGCATGAACAAGGAGTGATCAGCCGTTGAGAGAGTGAAGCCGATCTCCTCCAAAACTTCTCGGAGCTTCAAGTACCATTGCCTAGGGGCTCGATTCAGCCCATAGAGGACCTTCTTCAGCTTCAAAACTCTGCCACTACCATCATCAAACCCTTCTGGCTGCGCAAAGAAAATCTCTTCTTCAAGGATGCCGTTGACGAACGCGGCTGTCACGTCCATCTGCTTCACCACCCATCCTTTGATGGCAGCCCCCGCGAGTAGGGTCCGCAGCGTTGTCGGCTTCACCACAGGAGCAAACAACTCCTTGAAGTCTACCTTCTCTTTCTGCTGGTACCCCTTGGCTAGAAGCCTAGACTTGTAGCGCTCGATCTTGCCGTCGGCATCCGACTTAATCTTGAAGAGCCACTTGGACGTTATTGCCTTACGCCCCTTCGGTAGCTTCACCAATTCCAACGTGTCATTCTCCTCAATGCTCTTTAGCTCGCTCTCCATTGCCTTCTTCCACTCCTCAGCATCACTACTGTCCGAGGCCTCCTTGAGAGTTGCTACTCTCAAGGCATCTCCACCAGAGAGAAGAACACAAACTCAAATTCCTCGTACTCACTTTCCTCGTCATCTCCGACCATCATTGCTGCTCCGGCCAGGGCTGACTTGCCCTGCTTTCCCGGTGCATCATAGGTCAGCCTATTAGGGGCTTGAAATCTTTTCTTGACCCTTCCTTCCTCCTAAGCTGCAGGGACTTGAAGGCCTTGGCGTTGCTGCGGGGTGACGCGGATCCGTGGAGCACTTGTAGCGCGTGAAGGAAGTGTCGGTGCACGCTCGCTCACTTGCTGCACCTCCTCCTCTTCGTCTTCTGCATCGTTGGCCTCTCCCCCATTCACAAGTGAATATTGCTTTGTGGTTGTGCTGCCGCTGCTCAGCTTCAAAGGCAGCTCCACATGCTCCAAGCCGGAACTCTTTACCTCCCCAAACCGCACGCCTATCTTCGCCTCATTCTCCGCCTTCCAATCCTTATACATCAGGTTCTCCATGAACTTGCAATCCCTGCTCACCATCTTTCTTGGCAAATGGGTCCCAAAGAAGCCACCCTTTGCTGTTTTGAGCCATGCCCAAGTGCACAGCCCATAGCGCCTTGGCACCAAGCTTGTTGTGCCGAAGATGCTTAGGCATGAGCGCCATGCACATGCACCCGAACACCCGAAGCATATCCACCTTTGGCTTCCTTCCAATCCACTCCACATAGGGCACCCATTTGTCTGCTCCCACATGAGTCAAGGCTCTGTTCTTGACCACACAAGCACTCCGCACCACATCAGGCCAGAAATAGTCAGGTAGCCCAGCTTCGATGAGCAACCCCGCGTGCCGTCTCCATGATTGTGCGGTTCGCTCACTCGGCGATACTGTTCATTGCAGGGGAGTACAGCATGGTAAAGGAGTGCCTTATCCCATTCTTCTTCAGCCACAACCCGAACTCCTTGCTCAGGAACTCTCCCCTTCAATCGGTGCGGATTAACTTGACTATCCGGTCTTGTTGCCGCTCCACCATCGGCAACCAATCGATAGCCACGTCGCTCTTCTTGGACAGCATGTACACCCATGTCATGCGGGTGTAGATGTCGACAATGGTGAGGAAGTACTCTTCTCCAGCAGCTACAAGCTTCAAGGGGCCCACCACGTCCATCACCACCTCATCAAGTGGTGCCTTAGCCGTTGCCTCCGAAGTCGAGAATGGGAAATGGGTGAACTTGGCTTGCATGCACGTCAGGCAGCCAAGTACCTCATCGGGCTCTCCCTTCACACGTATACCAAGAACCATCTCATACTTCACTAGCTTCTGCAAGATGGGCAGGGCCACATGCCCCATGCGCCGATGCAAAGTGAGCCAATCACACTCCTTGTAGCCGAAGTCGGATTGCAGAATGCCGCGCTCGCAATAGCGCCCCACATGCTCTCTCCGCAGTCCTCCTCCGCTGCTGCCTTGGGGTTCTCCTCACCCCTTCTGCTGCTCCTTGGCTGCTGCACCACTCTCCTCGTGTTCACCGAGCTTTCTAGTAGCTCCAAGATTGCACTTCTTGGACTCATTCTCCTTAGCGCGATCGTTTGCACCATCGCGGCTACCACCCGCTTCACCCTTGGTGCTGACGCTTGCTATCACTTGCCTCTCCCTAGGCATGGGGACCACAGGGATCTGCTACATCTCGTTGTAGACATCCCTATCCTCGTGAAAGTCCCGTAGAATCCGCTCGCCAAGCCTCGCGGTGTAGGTCTTGGCTCCCTTCGAGCTCGTGTCAATGCCGGCCTTTTGCAACCGCCGCACGCAAATCAGGTTGGCTGCAAGGTTGCGCACCCAAAGCACGTTCTTGAGGCCCACCATCTTCCCATCAGCACCCTTGAACATGGCCTTGCCCATGCCTTTCACCTCTGCTCGCTGCCCCAAGGCCGATGTGACATGCTTCACCAGTGACGGTTTGAGTTCGGTGAGCAAGTCCGCACGAGGTGTCATGCTATAGGTAGCGCCGCTATCGATCACCAAGTAGTCCAGGGAGTGTAGGGTGAACTTTTTCACAGCTGCTGGCTCCTCAGAGTCCTCATCCTTCTCTGGTGCAGCCGATGCTTGCGTCGAGACGAAGAAGAATTGACCCGGGAACCGATGGTCGCTCGAATCCTTGTCGTTATCTCCGCTCTTCATGTTTGCAGCACCACCTCCGCGACCGCC